TTGGTTTGCATGAAGGTAAGAGGCAGGGGGAAGGAACCGTCTGTTCCCCTTCGGGACTAGGTCTGTTAAGAAGCCCATTGCCTGTCTATATTATTTCTAGACCGCGACGCTACTATACGACTTTCTTTCCGTTGGCCGCTTAACCTTTGTCGACCTGCATGAGCAGGGGCCACAGATTGAGCTTTATGTGGCTTAAGAAGGAGTGGGCAATAGTAATCGGAGGATCAAACATGGCGTACAGGGACATAAGTCAAGAGCCTTACATTTTCTTAAATTAGCTATTCGCAGCTAGACTAATACTTACGACTGTCAAACAAGAAATCAATCCTTTTCAGTCAGCGAGTGTCTGACCTAGTGGGCACGACTGTCAAGGTTGACTACCATAACGGTTTTATAGGCCTTGAGTAGATATCGGGGCGATATAACTAGCAGCAACCACTGCTTAATGCCCTCCATTGCAATGTTCTCCGGTTCCGGATATCTTTGTAAACCTGTCGTGGAATCATTTTAAGTAGTAACAGTCATAGTTGCCGCGCCAACTCTAACGGGAAACATTCAAAATGGCGACCAATCGTTTACCATAGCCTGTCATTGAAGTGAAATAATTTTTATGCATATCAAGACGTCCTGGGAGACCCCTTGACGACAGGACGTCTGGTGTGACATCAGGGATCAGTCCGTCCAGTTGCGCACATGTGTATGATGAAGGAATCGTGGTTCCGCTTGATATATACACAGCTGAGTGCAGTGGGCCCCTCGGTACGGCGCTAGTCTATGTAAAATCGTCTTTACCCAGGCCTAGGATCGCAGAAAAAACAGGATCTTGCCGCCCTTTAAGTCCCGCTCCCCCTGGCCAATTGCGATCCTCTTGCTGGAGGGTCGTAATAAAGTTTTGCTAAACACATAATTCTGCTCACTTGGGGCTGATGCGTAGAAGTTTGTCGATAATCAAAGTCTCTTATTGGGACTAAACGATCTATAATGCCATTCCTTGCTCGCCTGCCGCACCTGATATAAACGTGGGTGCATAATCAGGATCCTATTTACGCAGAACCCACAAGTCTCGCTTAGCTGTGATGTGGCCGAATATACTCATAATACCGGGACGCTGACCGCGGGCCTGATGCCTAAAGCCTAGCAGTAGGACATTTGCTCCTAGACTTTTTAGTGGGAGGCCCTATAATTCCATTACCTATGTCCACTTTAACTACAGGGGTCCCCACCACGCATTGTACTAGTCTAACAATGCTGTTCGGCTAACCGGAAGAGCGTCGCTTGCGAAGAATGATTGATTGGCAGCAATTGTTCCTATTGTATGCTTCCCATCATACCCTCGAGACCTAGCAAGTCTTCTTGTTTGTAATGATGTACGGGCCTTTCAGATGGGGCGGTTCTTGTAGAGATGGTCAAGTGCGTTGAAAAATGCGAAACCATGGGGCATTCTCCTCGAATTGCGGCCTAGGCAACACTGGCTCATTCACGTAGTCGGACTCCAGGATGTTGTTAAAGTAACTGACCTTTAGTTGACCTCGTAGATTCGAACAAGGCAAGTATGTGGGATGAGCAGCATTGGGATGGTGATGTAAGCCTAACCGCCTACGACCCAGCTATGAGCCTTCCCTTATATTACACAATGAACAGTTAATATGGCCTCTTCTTTATTGCTGCAACTTGTAAACCAACCACGGGCGTTTAAATGCCGACCGGAAACAGGTTATGACATATGGGGTGGTCTACTCGTACAGATATACTGATCTGGATAACTGCTTTGAATTTAAAGCCCCCGCGGGGGGCGCTTAAGCACTGATTAAACAGAAGCTTTTTCACTAGTTGGTGATTCACAAGCGCGGGCATTTCTCTGAAAGTAACCTTACGGTCTATCCCTCACGCTGCATGACCTTTAATTACGCTGCGAGTCGCATTGAGACCGCAAGGCCAGACGCCCGACATACAGGTGTCCTATATCAAGTCGCGCGTTACTTATAGTGGGTCCATTACCATTTGTTGGCCCTCGGAGACGTCTTATCTCTTCGATTGGCTCATACGCTCTACGC